GATTCATGAGATCACGTTTATCAGGGCCGAGATCAACACAATGCTTCAGGCTCGTCCACGCCTTCCAAAGCAGACCTATCAGAGACTGGAGTCGTCAGCTCCCAAAGGGAGTGGCAAATCTCAACGGGCAGCGCCATACTCTAAGGGCAAATCTGGTAAAGGCACCAACAAGGGCTCAGGTAAGTCCACTGGCAAAGTCAATTGGATCACTGAGACAACAGTCAATGGAGCAAAGAAGCAGTTGTGCATGAGGTTTCAGAGTGGCAAATGCGACTTGGGATCAGCTTGTCGTTTTCATCATGGCTGTGCATATCCTATGCCCTCAGGCGAAGCATGCGGAAAGAACCATGGAGCGATGACGCACGATAAAACTCCTCACTGACCACAGGACCTCAATACAAAGAGCCGGCCAGGATATGCGAACAGCCATCAACCTTCAGATCATCTCAGTATGGAAGTCACAAGTTTCACGGATTCAGGCATTTTGCCATCAGCATCCCATGTTTCACCTTCTTCTGACACCCCTCTGAGAGGGCTTGAAGTAGCAGCCGTGCCGAAGTTTGTAGACGCAGACCCTATGTCAGATGATTTCCAACACACATCTCCAAAGGATGACCATGCGCATCATCCCCCCTCAGTGACTGATGAAGATGACAAAATTCCACATTCCGTGGATACTCAGCGAACTGCCGACCCCTTAGATGCTGTGCCTCAGGTATCACCTCAACCATCCATAGATTCGAAATTCACTTTACCCTTGAAGGGCATGCGGTGTTTTTTGGATATTTGTTGTGGGGTTAACTCACCACTTTCCAATGCAGTTCAATCTCTCCATGGGGATGTTATGCGTTTTGATATACTTATCCATAATTACGATGACCTATTGGACACTGCTTGTTATGAGAACCTCCTCCGCGTGTGTTCATCAGGCATTGTTGCGTATGCAGGCGCATTTCCGTCGTGCTGCGAGTACAGCAGACTGAAGCTTTTGCCTCATGGCCCTCCAGCATTGCGTACTCCTGAATTTTTGGATGGTGTCCCCGGACTGACAGGTTCAGACCTTTTAAGAGTGCAAGAGAGTCACACTATGCTAGCCCGCTGTGTAACATGTCTCCAAATTGTGGTTTCAGCAGGAGGGCACGGCCACTTAGAGCAACCCAAATCAGCGATGAGTTGGGATGAGCCTATTGTCCAGCAATTTGTCTCCCAAAACGCTTGCGCCTGCATATCCATTTCGGCTTGTGGTTACGGTCGGGATTGGCATAAGCACTGGTTACTTGCCAGTACATTCTCTGCTTTGGCCAAACTTGCGTGCGCATGTGACCATCCCCCGGGGTCCCACCAACCAATTGCCGGCGTCCGCACCGAGTCCGGTCAATTTTTAAGCCGTGCCACAGCGGAATATCCAGAACCCCTCGCCCAATCTTTTGCCCAGATAATCCTTCCATTGCTTTCTGATCAAAATTTGGAACTTAATTTGGACAATTATGAAAAGTACCTACCCATCAAAAATCTCAATGACCCCCCATTTTCTAGGCAAGATGGTGCCGGTTTCCCATCGCAAGCGGATTGGAGTTCCCAACACTCCTTTGAAGATTGTTTCAATGTCCTTCGTAAGAATTTCTTTAGAAATCATGAACCACCGCCTTGATCAGGTGATCATGCGGGCCTTCACTGAGCGTTGGGCAGACCCGCCATTCTCCTCCGATCAGCTCCAGCCTTTCAGGAAGTTTTTGGATGAATTTTTGCTTGCGCAAGGGATCCAACCAGATTGGTCGGTTCCCCGAGATCAGCAACTATGCCTTTTTATCCTTCAAAAACTTTGCACGTGCATGCAGGACCCTGACTCGGCCCTCTTTCCGTATTTGATAGAGGGTGTGCCGTTAGGCATTGATGAGGAGATTCAACCATCCCATTGTTTTCCAATTCAAGTTTCCGACACTCCATTTGAACCACCGCTTCTTTCCGTTCATCACACCAATTGGCAATCAGCTGAAGATGAGCCATCCATTGTCATGGAGCTCATTCAGAAAGAGATCGACGCAGGCTGGGTGGTTCCTTTCAAAGGCACCATGGAAGACGCTCAAGTCTTCTTTCAGGATGGTTTAGCAGTGGGCAAGTTAGGATTAGCCATTAGCGACTCCCGACCCCCTCGCTTAGTACTAGACTCTACCATATGTGGGGTAAACCCCCAGAGTAAGATCCCTGAAAAAGCCAGCCTACCAACGGCTAAGGACGTAGTACGTTCCTATCCTTTACGGCGATCCAACAAAAGGTTGTCGGGGGTATCTTTCGATGTTAAAAGCGCTCATAAACAGATGGCAGTTCACCCAAAATACAGAGGTCATTTATGTTTTCAGCTCCAAGGCCAACTGTATTATTACAAAGTTTGTCCTTTTGGGGCTGTCATTAGCGCTCACTTTTGGTCCCGGTTAGGGGGTTGTTTCCAAAGGCTATTTCATCGATTTTGTTACCTTCCTCACGCATCATTCCTCTACGTTGATGATCTATTGATGTTTCAAGAAAGTCAGATCATCGGTCTGAGCGCATCCACCATTGCTATTTTATGCATGTTAGTCCAACTCCCCATATCATGGAAGAAATGTGAGCTTGGTCCAACCATAGTATGGATTGGCTGGGAAATTCACATCCAGGCAGGATTCATTGCATTGCCCTTTCCGAAGCGAGAAAAACTTTTGGATTTGATTCACAAACTGTCATCATCATCCCATGTTTCCAAAAAGACTCTAGAAAAATTCCTTGGACTGGCTCTTTGGGCGACACAGCTATGGCCAGCCATGCGCACATGGCTCCATTATCTCTATCGAGATTTGCACTCCATTCCAGCCAGCCAATTTTCTGTAGACCCAGGATCATGGGAAGAAGTATGCGCATGCGTGTCAGATTCCTTAATATTTCTTCGCAAACCACCTCATTCGGCAATTCCAATCAAAGGCCACCTCATTCAAGTTCGACATCAACCAGTACATACCAAAGCAGACCTATTCACTCGTGCATTATCTGACAAACGCCTTTGGTTACGCATTCGTGATCCAAATTCCAGCAAGAGGAAATTATCCCAATCTTCCCAACGCATTTTGCGAATGTATTTAACATGGCTTAGTGATTTATCCCCAGTTAAATCTATGTGGCCTAAGACTCAATGGACCGGCTCATGTGTTGCTGATGCATACGCAGCTGGCCAATCATGTGGCATCGGCGGCCTGATCATTTTTCCATCCGGTCAATGCTCATGGTTCAGCCTTCAACTTCACATTTCCGAATTTCAACAACTCAATATTCCAGTTCATCAAGATTTACAAAAAGACATTTCCAGTTTGGAGACTTTAGCTCAAATCGCGCTGGTATATATAGCCAGCCGATTTTTTCCCGGCGCTAGGATTCCCATTCGTATCCCCACATTATCCGACAATTCCACAGCTGAAGCTGTTGCCAACAAATTATTTTCAACCAACATGCCCATCGCTTTATTCTTGGAAAAACTAAGTTTGCTAATTTCTAGCTCCAGCCTCGAGGTTGACGTGACCCACATTCCAGGCCATGACAATGTATTTGCAGATGCCTTAAGTCGTTGGAATGGGGAAGGATCTCCTCCCCATCATTTCTTGCATCACGATAGATTCCCCTTGACTCTTCATCAACTTTGGAATCTTGATCATCACCCGAAAGTGTTTCCGGTGAATGCTCAATTGCCTTGGAAGCGACCACCAGAGGTCCAACATCCGGAGCCTAGTGCTCATCATACCGATCCCATTCTCATTTCCTAATTCATTGCTGGATAATCCCACTATCTCGAAGGGGTTAATGTTCGGCGTTATTATCCAACCATTCATATCAATAGCGTTGATTAGGGTGACATAATATCCATTGATATAGAATGGATCAAAGTCACCTGAAAATCAGGTGGGATATGTCAAAGACAAGTATCCAGCAATGAAAAAAGGAAATGCTTAGTCAAGCGTGAGAGAAACCAGTGGAAGGGGATTGAAGACAAATTGAATTATTTGAGAATGCTTTTTAGTAAATATCTAGCTTCAGATTAGTTAGATATTTTAACACTTGTTTGCCTCATACTATTTGATATGTAATGAACGTCCACCTTGAACGTTAACTGTACTTGTTCAGTTTTGTTTAATTGGGGGTACTTCATTATGTATAATGCCCTTTATCATTTTGGCTCAAGGTGGTATTCATTACATGTAGCGTTATATGCTTTTGATTTTCCCCACCCACCACACCACTGGTAATTCAATCGTTTCACACTTTAGCACGGCGCAGTTTCAGTTTCATTCTTCCGATACGATTGATGCACCCAAGTGCACTCATCCAGCAAAATTCCAATATGTTCGGAGTGATATCCAACATTCACTCTCGATTTTGGTGTCTACGCACCATACTTGCGTGTTGCCCCTTTTGCATTCGAGCATCCGTTGCATCCGCCTTTTTGCTTTAGCATACTCTCATTGAAAACCAATGAGGGTGACATAATATCCATTGATATAGAATGGATCAAAGTCACCTGAAAATCAGGTGGGATATGTCAAAGACAATTATCCAGCAATGAAAAAAGGAAATACTTAGTCAAGCGTGAGAGAAACCAGTGGAAGGGGATTGAAGACAAATTGAATTATTTGAGAATGCTTTTTAGTAAATATCTAGCTTCAGATTAGTTAGATATTTTAACACTTGTTTGCCTCATACTATTTGTTTTACGCTGTTTGCTTCCTCGGTTTTATCGTTGGTATATCAACTTGTATGTGATATACCTATATGTAATGAATGTCCACCTTGAACCGGTGAGTTGTTTGTATACATGAATCCTTCATGGCCCGAAAAAGTTTCTGAGGAAAAACCACATGTCACTGCACTTGTTGTTTTCTGATACCCACGGCAGCAAAACCGGTGCAAGCGCAAGCTAGCAATGACCTGTTGAGTCATGACAATTCTATGTACACGACAGTGGTCCGCTCTTAGCTCATTTAGTCCATCCCTTCAATTTCAATGTCTTCTCTCGGATGCACAGGTGGCATGGGTGTTGCCTGGCTCTCTTGCATTGTCTTGAGTCTCTTCGTAATGCGAGATACCGTGTCCTGAGCTCTAAATAGTTGTGCGGTCAGATCCTGCACAGTTTCCAGGGCATCCAGTCGGCGACTCTGCAAAGTGGCCATATCCATTGCATCAAAATTTTCTTCTTGGTCAGGGGCAGGACTGCTGACAACGACTGTTTCGGATGTTAGCATGTCTGGCGAATCTGTTGGCGAAAGGATTGGTGGCGGTCCAACATTGACTTCGACACTGAGTGGCTGTTCCTTGCCTGGCTGCGGCAGTTTCTTTGCGCCTGGGTGTCTGTGGCCAGGGTCAGATAGCTCTCCGGTACCCGGGGCATCCTTCCTTGGTTCTTTGGGGGACGGTGGCGGAAGCGGTGTTGGTTGTGCTGCAGTCAATGTCTGTGCACTGAGCTTAGTGGGCGGAGGTTGGCTGCTGTCCTGGGTAGCAAGGCCTGTATCCGCCTGCTTGGGCGCGGGTGAAACCGTAGTTCCGTCTGGTTTTTGGTCTGGCTGGTTGGCCTTTAGCCGACTTTCAGCTAGGGTACGTTGTCCCAAGGTGGCCATGACTGCTTGCAATTCCATGTAGCGTTTTTCAGTTTCCGCGAGTTGCTAAGGCAATGGTTGCGATGCTTGCGGGTCCTGTAAGGCGGAAGCCTGGCTTGACTGCGTGTTTGACTTTTCCTTGGGTAGCTCTCGCCATCTCGTTCGTTTCGGGGGCTGTGGCGGCTGCATTGGAGGTTTTGAGACGCGGTTGGATTTTGTCACGCAACTCTGGAGGGTTAGCCTCCCCGGTATCTGAGAGCCACTGAATTGTGCTAGCATGCAGCCAACTTCTGTTGCTGCGCTTCCACCTTCTAGAGACATCAAACTGCATGATGCCAAAACACGCAGCACTTGCTTTGCCAGCTTGTTCAGCTTTGAGCTGGGCAATGGCTGTCCCTTCTCTGGGACAACCTGACTAACAGCCTTCACTTGCTGCTTCAAGAGGTCGCGTGTTTGCATTCTGGTGAACTCAGCTTCACCAACCTTTTCACCATTCACAACAAAGCCAACACATATACAACGAGCAGTAAAAGCGGTCTCTGCTCAATGCCTTCGTGTTCAAGTCAGCTATGTTTTGCGTTGTCTTCACCTGTTTGGTCTGCAAGTCACCTGCTGCAACCTTGTCCTGTAGCCACAGCAGTCTGCCTTTGATATGGCGTAAGCGCCCTGCACCAGGCTTTACAGTCAGGCGGTCGGCCAGTCTGCGGCCAGACAGGAGACTCTCCCTAACGGGGGAGCAGAGTATGAGAGAATATTACTTCAACTAGAGAACAACCACAGTACTGAAATGGAGGAACGAGGTTGTCCCAGAGACGCAGCAGGCCCCACCGCCGGTGGGGCCTTGCCGCCGTGCTGTAGACTTGTTTACATGGGAACACTGTCACATAGAGGGAAAGTGCAGTTTGCTCTCTTGAGCCGATAGTGGTACTTCAGATAAATCTACAATAGAAGTATTGCACATGTGGTATTGTGGCAGCGTTGCTGCATTCACCCGACAGCTGCAGTTGCGGGAATACAGTGTCCTCTACCTGCTGCATTCTGGGCAAGATCCATATTTCAGCCTTATACTGTCTTGCAAGTCATGGGTATCTGAACTGCCTTATCAGGATAAAGTCAGACTAGTTTGCTGGTGTTTCAGCAGGCGCAAATCATCCAAAAAATGTGCGGTGCACAGCACAGGTATAGGTGTACACAGCTTGAAACTTTGCCTGGTTTCAACACCGGAAAATGTAAGTGCCGCTACGGCGTGCACTTTTTCGACATCGCAACGTTCAAAAGTGGTCCGAACCCCTAGTGTTTTGTGCATTTTGAAATGTGCTTCGCGCCACAACGGCGCGCAATTTTTCATCGCTCCTGTGGCCAGCTGGCTCCGCACCCGCCGCTTTAGCAAGCCTACTTTTCGACCCTCCGGAGCCACAAATCATTGGAAAAACATAGTGTTTCGCGACTTTCCTCCTTTTTGCGCATCTGCATCTTCTTTCTTCCTGACTCTTTCTCTTCTACTCTTCTCTCTTCTAATCTTTCTCTTTGAGAGAAGGCACCATTGGAGCCTTGAGTCGGGCTTCCGGAACTGAACCCAGAGGGCCATCCAGCACTACGTAATATGCTGTGCATTTAGAGAACCTGCAGAGTGCTCACGATCTCTTGCTCAAGGCAACACAGCAAGCCCTCCAGCTCCCTAGCGTGGCTAGACCACGCGATACAAGCTAGAGGAGAGCTGTCGAGAGCAAGCAGCACTGAACATGATGGCTGACTACAAGGCGAAGCTCATGCGCCACCTTACTGATGCACAGAGAGAGCTCTTTGCCCCAACCAGAAGCTTCCGAGACTTAAATGATGATACTGACGAAGAGCTACGTGACGTTCGGGAAAATGTGTTCCCTCACTCGGACTAACAGGAACCTTGAAGTCAGCAAATAGCACCCGGAGAGAAATTCAATAATTCTTGCCTCTAGCTTGGGGAGTGTTTTTTTAGTCTCTGTACAAATTACGTTTTTACTGCCTATGCTTATGTAAGGACCGAGCCACAGCGCGACATCGGCCATACTCGAGGAAAAAAAAACATCTAGCTTGGGGAGAATGTTCTGGGTGGCCTTGAATGCTGGCTCAAGGTCTGGTACCTGTGCTGGTGTGGGCACTCCCACCGTACCTCTGGCGTATTTCGTCTGCAAAAAAGAGCCGGCATATTTTGGAGACCCAGTGGCTGGGCTTTTCCATATCGATGGTGATCTTGGCTAGGGGCCATGGATCAGGCAACGTGGATAGGCAATGCAATAGCTCGGATGTCAGCTCTGGTGCTATTACTGGGAGTTCTCCCTCCTTTGGGCGGTATTGCATGGTTGTTGTTGCGCTGCTTTTACTGCGTTGCGTGTGGGTTTTGGCGGCTAGGTGTGCTGACTGGATGAGGGGGCCATGTTGGTTGACCATGGCTCTCAAGTATTTACAGGCACGGATAGCTGCCCTACGAGTGCTGGGCCCGTCTTCAGTTTGGTTCTTGGAGGATGTCTCGCGCCTCTTCTTCCGGTGAGCGGGGTGGTTCTGCGCTGGCAGGGCTGTGTGCGGAGGCTTCAACATCCCATACTGGTGCTTCCTTGGTGCTTGGTAGGTCGGCGGGGATGACCAATGTTGGACGCACTCGCCACCCATCAAAGAAGTAGATGCCCGGCAGCGGCGTAATTTCTTGTTCAGGGCCCGCCTGTGCCAAGACACGCCCGGTGCGTGCATTGTACAATCCAGATGGCAGGCAAACGTATGTAGGCCGGTTCGTGCGGTCGGCGGCATATGCATATAAAATGATTTCGTGGTAAGGGAGTTGTTGTTCCGGGATCCACCTATGGCCAGCCGTTACATGTGCTTGTAGATCCTGAAGTTGATCGCGTCTCAGCCAATCAAGGTCAGACGCTCGTACTAAAATGAGTCGGTATCGTACGCTTTTTGGCTGATTGGTTTGGTGGTCGTGATATTTGTTAGCGATTGCCAAGGGGGGATATGACCATGAAGCACTGTGTTCAGGGACCATCTTTGCATTTGTTCCCGGTTTTCCTGTTCCGGATTGGCATTGAACTTGGGCCAGTCCCAGGTGGTTTCCCCTCTTCTAAGACCTTGGATACCATATGCGATCGTTGCAATCACTTGAGCCATTCCGATAAGTCCCATCATGTCAAGCGGGGAAACCAGAAGAGTCAAGGATTTTGATCGTGTGAGTCCCACCGTGATGCGGCCTAAGCAGTCTTCGGTGTCTTCCGTGGGTGATCCATCTGGATAGAACCTTGTGTTGAGAAAGCCCGTACTTGGCTGGGCCACTATTGCAACTTCTGCCGTGCCTCCTGCTGAGTTAGCAATGGTTTCTACTCGCAGAGTGCGGGCATAGTTCTTCTTGAGAGCGGAGCTATTGAGGTTGTTCTTGTGGTCAGTGGCTGTGGTCATTATGAAAACCCCATTGGCAAAGCCAGCGTTCGGGGGGTAGTCAGAGAGCACTTGTGACACGAGCGTCTCTAGATCTACCGCGACCAAACCGTTGATTCTGGCATTGGTGTCCCATAGTACGAATTGGAAACCTGGGGGTTTGCACGGGAGTCCACCTGAGGCAAAGCTTCCTACAAAACTCCTACCAAATAAGTTCACAACATCAAGTTCCTAAGACATGGGTCAAACAACATCCAAAAACACCAAAAACCACAAAAACAAACGAAAATCCATTTCCAAGCTCTTCCATGCACAAACTGGTTCCATTTGGTTCCAAATTGGTTCCTACCTGGTTCCTATAGGTTCCTATGGGTTCTATAGTTCACAGATCGGTTCCTACAAACTTAAAATGATTACCTAACTGTGCACATGCACATGCATTGTTCCAATGACGATGATGCTTTTTGTTTGCGTTTCCATGCTGCTAGCCGCTTGCGTGGAGTTCATGGTGCCAAACAGAGGTGAACCGGAACCTGAAGGATCAGATGACATGCAAAGGGAGCCAGCATCAGAGCCGCTGACTTCCAGATATCCAATGAACAACCGCTCTTTGGCTCATGTCTATGCGGACGTCTTTGCAGACCCGATGTTCAAGGTGGAAGGCATGATGGTTTGGATGTATCATCGATGTGAAGGAAGAAAACATTGAAACAACAAATGTGTGCTCAATGGGTTTCGAATGGAGTCCTTGCAACAGATGATACGTGTGTGCTATTGCTTCGAAGGGATGGCCGCAGCTGAGTCCCACAACATGCTGGACAATGTCATTGCGATGACAGACCTTACAGATGATGAAGCTTCGCCTCGTCATCATATGGCGCAGGATGCAAAGCACAATGAAATTTTCCAAGCCTACCAAGCCTTCCAGGCAGGACTTGACCTGGTACGACAGATGAGACAGAGGGAAAACACAGAGACCTCAAATGCAGAAGCAAATGGAACTACCAACAACACCGAGATGCGTTCAGAGTCTTCTGGATCAGAAAACCTTCTACAACAGTTGAGGAGGTATTTGCACATATCTTTGGAGGAGGCTTCTGACCCGGGAGCTTTGGATGGAAATTCATCATGGAGATGAAAACTCCAACAGAAGCGCAGATGATGAGTTAAGCAATCAACATGGAATTGAAGATGAAAACTGAGAAAAATGTGACCTGCTGTGGGCTAACATGATCCCACAGAGGTGTCTCCAAAGTCTGCTGTGGGCTAACATGATCCCACAGAGATGTCTTCAGAGTCTGCTATGGATTAACGCGATCCATTAGAGACATGAAAGCCGAAATAGATAGCAGTCGTTTCACTTAAGGTGACAAGCTGTTTTCCAATCCAATGCACATGAGACTTCACGACCGTGAACCTGAGACTTTTGGACAAGTCTACGTGAGTCTCTTGTGGTGTTTTTTTGGTGTTGCTGTTTGGTTTTACACAAAGTAGCCATCTAGCAGCTTGGCAAGATGAGTTAAGCAACTCACAAGCCAAGGGCGGGGTAACTAGATGTTTCCATGCCGCTTTAGCCGTTGGTGACAGTGTTTGCTAGTTGAAAACAATTCCACAAAACGTGGTGCAACAAACCAAAATACAACAGTCATGCAAAACGCATGGGCAGTTGAATGCGTGAGATGTCCGAGGCTTTGGTGTTTCAAAAGGAGTTTAGATTTTCAAAGGGAGCTCCAAGTTTTAGGCGGAAACGCTTTTGCCAACAATGACTGCGAAGTTCAATGTGAGCCACAACGAGCTGAAAAATGATGGAACAGAGATTTCATTTCTGAAACGGCGATTGGTTAAGCTTTCAGATGGACTTTTATTGTCCCAGGCACCACTGTGGAAAAGGTGGTGGCTTACTTCAAGCGTTTCTTTGGCCCTGCAAGAGCTCAGAAGATTCCATGTGACAGTTCAATCCAAAATGAAGACGAGTCACGACCATTGACAGGTGGCGACAGCAAGTCCTATCGAAGCGTGATTGGCTTGCTACTCTTATGTTGCTCGAGACCCAGTGGATGTGATGTTTGCTGTGAAAGAATTGCCATCTCGCATGGCAGCCCCGACGCTTCTTGCCTTACAACGTCTCAGAAATTCATTGGATACTTCAAGTCCAGTGGGGACATATGTGCACGAAACTCTCAATCCCAGATTTTGGCTCAGGGAAAACCCGAAAAGGGATCAGAAACGTTTTGGCTGCTGGAGACATATACAGATGCCGATTGGTCAGCAAGTAAAAGACACCGAAAATCAACAAGCTGCGCAGTCCACATGGTGAATGGCAACATTGCCTGTGCTTCAAGCAGGACGCAAAGAGCTGTGTCACTTTCAAGTGCAGAAAGTGAGTTGCATAGCATGGTATCAGGGTGCTCAGATGCAATCCTCATCCGACGTTGCTAGGAATTTCTCAGTTGCAACATGGTGACCCACCAGCAATGGACTGACAATTCAGCGCGAATGTTGGTGTCACGACAGGGTGTTGGGCGAATCCGCCATCTCAGTGGAAAAGATTCTTTGGATTCAAGCATTGGTGCTACAGCAAGAAAGTTTCAGTTGGTCAGGTTCCGACAGCTTGGAACTACAGTGACATTGGAACAAAGCCTCCTGTGCGAAACAGATTGCTTGTTTTGTTGACCCAACTTGGTGCCAGTGATCCAGATACCTTGCAAATGGTTGGACAGGAGGAGTATGAAATTGCTGCAGAAAGGGTGCAAAATCAACAACCCTTGAGACGCCCTTCATGTTGGTGCGGATGCAATGGAGGTCAGTGAGGTTTGTCCCACAGGTCAGGCTTCTGCACAGGGTGATGGAAACTTTTGGCTATTGCTTGCAATGCTTTTCATGCTTGTGCTGGTGGTTGGTTTAGCAGTGAAGGGGTGTTTCATGTTGCGGCAAACAGCTACAGACTCGACTCACTGTTGGAACCAGGTAGGTGATGAAGACTCATACATAGCAACACAAGAAGAACGTTTGGAACAGTTTCTAGCGGAATTGAAGGACGAGATTCAGACAGTCAGCAATGAAACAAGCATGACACATGACTACGCTTCAGGTCTTCACTATGCAATTGTGGGGCATGGAGGTTACCTGAGGAATGGACTTTCTCATCAACCATGGGTTCACCTATCTACTTTGGAAAGAGCAAACTTGGTGACTGCTCGCGTGATGGGATCAGCCGCGTACATGAGAAGCTTGCGTCAACGTTTTGCTCCTCAGGGACCATCAGATGAAACCGATGTGAATGCAATGGATACTTCAGATGATGGAAACAATGATGCAATGCCTTCTGCAATGCCAGAGGCGACCACACCTTCAAGCGCGGAATCAATTTCTGGAATGGTTGACTTTCTCAAGGCAGAACACTTGGGATGCCTAGAGCGTGGCGAGCTCTGGGATGCAAACGCGATCCAAAGAGTCATTTTGAATTTTCTAGAAAGTTCTGCGAATCAACTGGTAGAGACATGATGACGCGATGCCGTGGGAAAGTTGCGGATCCGTTTTCAGAACTGAAAGACCGTGCAATTGCGCAAAATCGATGGGAAACCGTAGACAGATATCAAATGATTTCCTCAACGTGTGAACCGAATTGAGACTTTGCTTTTCTTCTGAAGTGATGCAATGACAACAACAATTGCTGCATTGGCGTTGAACAGAAGTGCAAAAAGTTGTGGATGCAGCTGCAAACAAAACGCTTACGGCTGCAAGGAGGAGTGAGAACAATTTGCAATCCCAATCATCAGTTGTCACTTTGTAATCAGATGTTCACTCAGGCATGGATGACACTGCACAAATCGAGATGAGAAGTGTGACAGATCCATCGTTGCACAAGTGAAAAAAACGATGTGTGGACTGTCGAGGCCCTTTAGGCTGATAAAAGTTGCGCTGCCAGCTTCGCACAACAGGAACTGCACAAAATCTTCTCACAAGGACCTCTGCCAGATCATGGCAGGACACCGCGAGGATTCAGGACTCTTCAGGAGCGTCTCACAAGGACCTGTGCAAGATCATGCAAAAGCACCTGACAACATGTCAGCAAGATCGCCGCAAAATCTTCACACAAATTCACACAAGGAATGGCAAAAAAACCTTGAGCAAAATCTTCATGCCAGGACCCCGAAGAGCGTCATAAAAGGACCTGCTGCGGCTGGAGTGGATCTGACAAGAAAGAACCTCCCAAGAGCCTCTCCCACGACCTCTTAGAGACGATCCCACCAGGATCTCCTTAAGAGTTTCTGTTAAGGACCTGTACGGGATCATGCAAGGGCTTCTTAGAGAGGAGTTTAGCAGGATCTCCACAAGAGCCATTCTATGCGAGAAATCTCGGGAAAATGCCGTGCCCCAAGACCATGACAAGACCGCGGCCCACACTCTGTGCGAGCCTGCGCACTTGAAATGCACATCGGCATCTCACAAGATCGGTTTATGCGAAAATTTGCAGGTAAAAAACCCGGCAACAGATGGAGCAACCTGATCAAGCGGCCTTAACTCCTACCGTAAGAACCTTTCAGTGTGGACAGGCCGTTTGGGGGAAAAAAACATGTGCAAATCTAATTGTGCGCACATCATTCCCATGCCGGGCTCAAGCGACGAATTTTTCATAGTTCGTATGATGCGCGTACATCTTCTCAGTTTAACGTTTGAACAATTGTCCAAGACGTGCAAGACTTCTGCTCGCAAGAGCAAACCTTTCCATTGCAAAAATGTAGCATAGTTTCAAATTTCAGTGTTTTATGCTATAGTATATAGGTGGGTTTCAGAAAAAAATGTTTGGTTCTTCTTGAAAGGCCTGCATTTCAAAAGCGTGCCTTATTCCATGCGGGCGAAACATGTGTTGACAATATTGGAAGATTGGTTTAGAACAAAGAAACAATATTCGAAATAGAACCCTTTGATTTGTGCAGTTTTCGTTTTGAAGGGTTTTGTAAACGTCATAGAAGAATCCTTTGGGAATGAAAATTCCTGGATTGAAATAAACTTTGTCCTTTGAAGAACAGGCGCCATTTCAAAACGACTAAAAAACAAAAAAAAATGTCAATTTTTTTTTGCATTTTCCAGGAAAACGCATGTACATGCTGTAAGGTTCTTGATTTGGGCAACAAATCCAAAACAAAATTGTTATTTGTCAGCGATGTTTTTACATGTTACGTGCTTGTGGGTTCACAGCATTTTCCAACAATTTTTGAACTTTGGTGCCATGGCCCGCTCTGGTGCAGTGGTAGGCGTGCTGCTTGCTGCAGCAGCCTTTGGAAGCTGCTTCCTTGCTGGTGTGCCCACACAGCCACCCCGCGCACCAACGACCCCAAACCATGCGGATTCTCTGGGAGCAGCACCAACGCAGAGCGAGAGCCAGAGCTACTCTTGGGCTGCACCTCTCTTGAGCTTTGGTGCTGCTTTGGGTGTGATCTTCGGCCTTGTGGCCGCCCAGCCTGCCAAGGCAATCACTGCCGAGCAGTTCAGCCAGCTCACCTATGCTCAGGTGAGGGGATCTGGCTTGGCCAACCGTTGCCCTACCGTGGAATCCAATGGTACTGAGGTGCCTGTGAAGCCTGGTTCCAAGATGATCAACGTGTGCTTCGAGCCAAAGTCCTTCGCAGTGGAGATTGACACTGACAATGGCAAGGAGTTTGCCACCACCAAGTTGACCACTCGTCAGACCTACACCCTGGCCTTCATTGAGGGCAACTTGGATCCTAACCCAATCACCTTCAAGGAACAGGATGGCATGGACTTCGCAGCCACTACTGTGAAGTTGCCAGATGGTGAGTACGTCCCTTTCCTTTTCACCGTGAAGGAATTGGTCGCCAAGGGTGAAGGCAGCTCTTTCAAGCCAGGCTTTACTTGGGGTGGTGAGTTCAGCGTGCCTTCCTACCGTACAGGAGGTTTCCTTGACCCCAAAGCCCGCGGCATGAACTTGGGTTACGATCAAGCTGTCGCACTGCCTGCAATGCAGGCTGACGGCAAGAGCGGTCAGGAGGACATCTTCAAGGAGACCAACAAGGTGTTCGACGTCGGAAGAGGTGCCATCGAGATGGAAGTGAACAAGGCTTGGGTCACCTTCAGGTCAGTCTTCACGATGTCATTTCTTCTTGGATGCTCCCAATGACTTTGCTACAGAAATTGAACTTGTTCTGATGTTCTGATGTTCTGATGTTCTGATGTTCTGTGAAGTTCTGATGTTCTGAAATTGCATTTTACAAGCCTTTAGGTGAACCAAGAGTTGGGCGAGATTGGCGGTGTCTTTGTCTCCAAGCAACCTTCTGACACCGACATGGGCGCGAAAGAGCCAAAGACTGACTGGGCATACTATGGATATTATTTTTGGAACATGAATCAATTGATTTGTTTGAAATGCATTAGCGGCAGCGACCCTGGCATCAAAACAAACTTACGCCACGACATTTAAATATGTGGAGGGCGGGCCAGACCGCAAGGCCCCGGAGGTAGTATGAAATACCAGTTCGTATATTTGAATGTATCTGCAGTAGGTTTAAATGAATTGGATTCCGTCTGTTTAAATGGCTGGGCGGGCCAAGGAAAACCTTCCCGGAGGTAGTCTAAAATACCTGTTCGTATATTTAAAAATCCGTATATTTAAATATCCGTATATTTAAATGTAGTTACCGTATTTTTCATAGGCGAAACTTTATTCGGTGCTGATGCATGTTGATGGGTTGGTTCCATAGTCATGGTGTTGGTGTGGGTATTGGCGAGCGGCTGCCCTTGTTTTGTTCTTTTCTCTTCTTGTTTGTTGCATTGTCCCTTTCTCTTTGTCAGCAGTGTTTTTTTCATATTGCCATCGATTTTCCATCACTTTAAGCTTCAGATTCTGTTCGCACTTTGCATCATTTCTGTATTCAGTTGTTGTTTCCATGTCAGGTTGCTAGGGTACTTGACTTTCATGACAATGTTGGCACAATTGACAACGGTGTTTCTACTGTTTAATGCAATTAGTCAACTAGTCAACATGCATTGCTTCGTTGATTCGTTATGTGACGACATGTGGTGATTTATTAGTCCTGGCTGATGCAGCACAATACTTCAGATTTCCTTATTACGGCGTCCAACATAGGATGATGATTAAGATGTGCACTGTTTTGGAAATAAAGGAGTTTTGTCAGATCTTTTGCTTGAGTTCTGGTGTGTTGCAGGACTGTCTTGCTGAAGGGCATTTTTTATGGCAAGGTAGTCAATGCTTGACAAAGCTGAAACAGGTGTGTAAAAACTTGGAGCGTGCTGACACGTGCTGACCATCAAATACAAACAAATTCACAGCAATACGCGTTGAAGTGGACATCAGGAATTTCCTTGAATCATTTATCTCTTCGTATGCAATACCTGACATGCTGGATATTCTGGAGCTAGGGGTATAGTCAAGTCGATTTGTGCATTCTCAGAGTCTGTACACATTCTGGACACGGACACAAACGACTCTTGTCAACTTGTCAACCGTTCATATTCAAGAAACTCTGTGCATTTTTGACAAAATCTGTAAGTATTGACTCAGTTCTTTTGGAAATGGCAATTGGTTCAAAGAATTTTCCAAGGTTTTTTTGAACTTTGGTGCCATGGCCCGCTCTGGTGCAGTGGTAGGCGTGCTGCTTGCTGCAGCAGCCTTTGGAAGCTGCTTCCTTGCTGGTGTGCCCACACAGCCACCCCGCGCACCAACGACCCCAAACCATGCGGATTCTCTGGGAGCAGCACCAACGCAGAGCGAGAGCCAGAGCTACTCTTGGGCTGCACCTCTCTTGAGCTTTGGTGCTGCTTTGGGTGTGATCTTCGGCCTTGTGGCCGCCCAGCCTGCCAAGGCAATCACTGCCGAGCAATTCAGCCAGCTCACCTATGCTCAGGTGAGGGGATCTGGCTTGGCCAACCGCTGCCCTACCGTGGAATCCAATGGTACTGAGGTGCCTGTGAAGCCTGGTTCCAAGATGATCAACGTGTGCTTCGAGCCAAAGTCCTTCGCGGTGGAGATTGACACTGACAATGGCAAGGAGTTTGCCACCACCAAGTTGACCACTCGTCAGACCTACACCCTGGCCTTCATTGAGGGCAACTTGGATCCTAACCCAATCACCTTCAAGGAACAGGATGGCATGGACTTCGCAGCCACTACTGTGAAGTTGCCAGATGGTGAGTACGTCCCTTTCCTTTTCACCGTGAAGGAATTGGTCGCCAAGGGTGAAGGCAGCTCTTTCAAGCCAGGCTTTACTTGGGGTGGTGAGTTCAGCGTGCCTTCCTACCGTACAGGAGGTTTCCTTGACCCCAAAGCCCGCGGCATGAACTTGGGTTACGATCAGGCTGTCGCACTGCCTGCAATGCAGGCTGACGGCAAGAGCGGTCAGGAGGACATCTTCAAGGAGACCAACAAGGTGTTCGACGTCGGAAGAGGTGCCATCGAGATGGAAGTGAACAAGGCTTGGGTCACCTTCAGGTCAGTCTTCACGATGTCATTTCTTCTTGGATGC